GGGGGGGGGGGGGTCGCGCGAGGGGGCCCGTCACCTTCTCCGTGCTCAGCCCTGCGCGCCGCGATGCGCGCCTCCTCCTCCTGCGCGGCGCTCTTGTCCTTCGCTCCCCGCTCGCCCTTCTTGCCCATCGCGGCGGCGTCCGAGGGGCGTCCGGGTCGCCGGGCAACCGCGGAGGGGGCGGGGTCAAGCGGTCCAGCCCCGCCCCGCGCGAGGCCTGACGGGAGCCGTAGTCCGCCGGGGCGTCGCGCGGGGTAGACGGGAGCCTCCGGCCCCTCCCCCGACGTGCGCGTTCCCCGGGCGGCCTGGCCGGTCTGCGCTGCGAGATGGCGGCGCCCGGAGAGGAGTCCGACGCCGAGCTGGAGGAGCTGCTGGCCAGTGAGCGGCTGGGCCTGGGCGGGGGGCGGGCGGCGAGGCCCGCGGGGTCTTCCGGCTGCCCGTCCGACCGACCCCGCTGCGCTCTCTCCCTGCAGGCGCTCTGGAGGACTTTGAGAGGGCCGCGCCCGGGGAGCCCGCCGGAGGAGGAGGAGGAGGCGGCGGCGGCGGCGGCGAGGGGGGCGCGGAGCCGGCGGGGGAGGTGCAGGTAGGCCGGGGCTCTGCCGGGCGGGGGGCGGTCGAGGGTCTCCCCCTCCCGGGCAGCGCCTGCAGCCTTCGCGCTTCGCCCCCGCAGGGCCGCCTGCTGGCCGCGCAAGAGACCTTCTTCCAGGAGCTCTTCGAGGGCGAGCTGGCGTCGCAGGCGAGCGCCGAGTTCGAGCGGGCCATGGAGGAGCTGGCGGCCGAGGAGCCGCTGCTCGTGCAGCAGTTCCAGAAACTCTCGGCCGCCGCGGGCAGAGTCGGTGAGCGGCGTGGGGAGACCCTCCGGGCTCGGGCGGGGGTCGCGGGGCGCTTGTGGGGGGGGAGCCCGGCGAGCGCTGCCGCCTCCGCCTCGTTGCAGGGAGCGACGCCGCCTCGCGCCAGGAGTTCACCTCCTGCCTGAAGGAGACGCTCAGCGGGCTGGCCAGGAACGCCGACGGCCTGCAGGTGCGTTCCCCGGTTGACCCCCTCCACACCGGGCCCCACCGCCCTTCCCTCCCTGCGCCCCTGCGGGCGGGCGGGCAGAGCCCTCCCTGCCAGCTGCCTCTTTCCCTAGAGCTCCGGGGTGTCGGAGGAGGAGCTGAGCAGGACGATGGAGGGACTCGGCCTGGAGGAGGGGGATGGCGGGGAAGGCAGCCTCTGGCCCATCATGCACAGCATCATGCAGAACCTGCTCTCCAAGGACGTGCTCTACCCCTCCCTCAAGGAGATCACCGAGAAGGTAAGGCCAGGCTCTGCTGGGCTTAGTGCCTCCCAGCAACTGCAGGAAGCCCACCCCTCCCTGCAGCTTCCTTCCCAACTCCTGCAGAAAGGCAGGAAAGGGGTTGCTTGGGGCTCCACATCGTTCCACCCCCGAGAGGCAGGAGGTCCGGCAGGTGGGTCATCTGTGACCTCACAGTGGACTCCCCCGCCCCCAGTACCCCGAGTGGCTCCAGAGACACCGAGACTCCTTGCCCAGGGAGCAGTTCGAGAAGTACCAGGAGCAGCACAGGGTCATGGGAAGGATCTGCGAGCAGTTCGAGGCTGAGCAGCCCACAGACGGCGACCCACAGCACAGGGCCCGCTTTGAAACGATCTTGGACCTGATGCAGCAGGTGAGGGGCCGGGTGGGCCGGGTGGAGGGTGATGCATGGAGCTTGGGGCTAACTGTGCCCTTTGCCTTCCAGCTGCAGGACCTGGGACATCCTCCCAAGGAGCTGGCCGGAGAGTCGGTGAGTGTCTGTTTGGCTGCCCCTTCCCCAGGCTTGGATTCGGAGCCACGGTCTTGCCAGCAGCTTTGGCATCAAAGGGGCAAAAGGGGACATTTCCGAGTCCCAAAGTGCCTGATTCTGGAGGACGCTGTTTAGCGCGGCTTGAACCCGCCGGTGTTTCCGACAGCCAGTCCTTCCTATGGGACACAACACCCCACTCCCTGCAGAGGAGCATTTCTTTCTTGTGAACGAGCGTCCCTCCTTTTCCAGCCTCCTGGCCTGAACTTTGACCTGGAAGGACTGAATCTGCCTGATGCTGGAGGCACCGGAGGCGAGCAGTGCCAGATCATGTGACTTGCTCCCATGCCAGGGAGAGATGGGAGGGCCCTGTGGTGGGTCGAGGTGTTTGTGTCTTTCTTGCCTGTTTTCTGTCATCACCAGGTACCTGAGGCTGGCTGCCTTTGCTAAGCCCGGCATGTGGTTTTGCAGGGATCCCACAAGGGACTTTGCAAGCCAGAATACTGATGCCCTGATGTCAGCTTTGCCTCTTGGCTTCTGGAGAGACGAAGGCCCCAAGGACATCCCTTCCTTCCTGCCCTGAGTTGATGGACAGGCTCTCTCGGATGAGGTTGCTGCCAATGAAATGATCAGGCTGAGGGAGGAGGCAGTGGCTCATGAGAGTGAAGGGAGACCTCCTGCACCTACTTCCGATGGCCCAGCCCTGCTGCTCTTCTCCGGCAGTGGCCCCCCGGTTCAGTCTCTGGATCAGGAGCCAAAGTCCCCTTTTGATGATACCAGGCAAGCTGACCAGCTCCCTGGACTTGCCCACATCAGCGTGAGCCTCTTTTTCTGCTGTAGCCCCAAGTATTAACACCCCCACACCCTGGTCCCTCATTAGTGCTACTGCTTTGTGAGAACCACCTGTATGGGGAGATAGCTGGGAAGCAGGCCACCTCTGCCCACTGGCCGCTTCCTTTCTGCTAGCGGCTGATGCTGCAGGAGGAGAGCCACCCTCCTTGGCTTGAGTCTGGCAGAACTGAACCAGAAGGGCAATTCTTGAAATAAAGGTGGAGGTTGATGGTTTGAAGTTGTGGTTGTTTCTGTTAAGAGTTGTGAGTTGAGGGAGGCCCCCCCCCCCGTTTCAAATCGTGAGCACATGGGAGACCTGTACGGTGTGGGCAAAACAGACCATCAGCCGTCTAGTAATAACTTCTATTTTCTAGGACTAGTCGGGGAGTCTCCATGTTGTAGACACATTGAATAGGCACACAGCAAAGGAGGGGGGAGGGGGTACATGGCACGATAGCCGCTGCTTGTTCTTCAGCGGCAAGAAGCAGAGAAACTTTTTTGGGGGAAGGGGTGCAGATGCTAAAGGGGGATGGAAAACCCTGAAAGACTCGCAGTGACGTTTTGTGTGAACTGGCTGAGAGCGATTATGGTCTCTCTCCGCCTCCGATGCACCCCCCCCCCCCCCCCCCAATCCTCTAGGGTTGCTTGGAAATGAGGCGATTCGCTCGGAACTGCTCCACTTGCCCGGCCGGCCCTGGCACAAAAACTTCTTTGGCTCTATTCAGCGAGGGTGGAAGAGCTTTGCCCGCAACAGGCTTCCTTGGGGAGGGCGAGATGCCCCGCGGGAGGCTCGCCCACCACTCGCAGGTCGAGGTGTGAATGTGCCCGGAAGGAGGAATCGGCTGCCTTGCGGCCGAATCGTGCCAGGGCGGCTCTCGGTTGGTGCAGTCTCGGAGGGACCCGGCGCTCCCGTGGAAAGCCCGGCCGGCCGGGAGAGGATCCCCGGGAGGTTGAGCAACAAGGGGCTTCCGGACTCCCTTAGGCCATCAAGCAGGACTCGCTCTCTGGTTTTTGCCGCTCTGGGCAGGTGTCTCTATGGCACCTCCGGGTTTCTCTGCCGTAAAGCCGCGGCGGCGGCGGGGGGCGGGCGTAAAGCGCGACTGTCGCGGAGAGCGGCGGCCGCGGAGGAGCCGGAAGGAGACGCGCGGCGCCGGTTGGGCGATAAAATGGCGGCGGCGCCTGGGCGTCCCGGGGGCAGCACCGGCGACGGGGCGGCGGGAGGAGGAGAAGGAACCGCCGCCGCCGCCAGAGGTACCGGAGGGGCCCCCGACAGGCCCAGCCTCTGGCAGCCGCGTCCCCTTCCGAGGGCCCCGGGATGGCAGCGCCGGGCCTGCGCGCGGGGCAGCGGAGTCTCGGCCGGCCGCCTTTTCGGAGCCCCCGCGGGCGGGGGGCGGTTTCTCCGCCTTCCCTTCCACGAAGCGCGGCCAGCTTTGGGACCCGTAACAGGACGGGGCGTCCGGGGAAATCCGGTTCTCTGAGGCGCCTTTTTCTCTCCCCCGCTTAGTCTGATCGCCGGTTTCTCTGCGCCGGTTCCCGGGTGTTGCCGACCCTCCCCCGACGTAAGAGGCGGCAGGACAGGTGGGTCGGGGGGGGGCTTCTCAAGGGAGGTGGGTCCCGCTTGAGCTTCTTCAAGGGAAGGATAGGCGAGGAGGAGCCCCCCCCCGCGGGTGCAGAGCAAAGAAGGCGGGGGAGGGGCTGGGACACCCCCCCCCCCCCCGCCCCGCCCCCCCCCCCCGCATCCGTCCCTTCCTTGGGGATCCCAGCTGAGGCTCCCTCCCTCCCCTCTTTGGGCAAGGGGCCGGTTCAGTCACCCTCTTGCTCGCCCCACTTCTGCTTAGGGGGCCCGGCCGGGCAGAAGCCCCTCCCCTCCTCCCCTCCCCTCCTCTCCTGGCCAGCTGAGGTCGGTGGTCCTGGGGGGCGGGAGGGGGAACTTCGGAGCCTGTTCAGGATTCCCTGAGGGGCCTTCGGGCTTTTGTGACCTCAGGTAGGAAGAGGAGTGGAAACAGGAAAACCGCCGGCCTTTTGTCCTAATTTCGGAGTGCCGATTTGGGGTGCAGGCATCCCCTGAACTGACCCCTGTCAGGGGCCCAAAGGAGTTTCCCTGGGAAGAAGCAGAAGGCGGGCTGGGACCCCAGAAGATGCTGGTGAAGGCTCCACGCCTTCCCAAAGAGATGGCTCCCCTTTGAAGGGCCCAGGAGGGAGAGCCGCCTTCCTGGGCAGCCTCTGCATACGCTGGCCAGGAGGTTAAGGAGGGTGGTCCCCTCCTCGTTCTTGCTGCCCACCTTTAGGGGAGCTTGGGGGTGGGCCGGGCTTCTTCTATTGTGAAAGCATGCAGCCCAGATGCATGTTGTCTCTTTTATTAGCACCGAGGCATCGGATCTGGGCTGGCATTTGGAGACCCCCTGTTTACTTGGAGACCGTTGCTCAATGGCGTGGGTGTCTTTAAAAGGATGTTTGTTGTTAATTTTGTTAATTATCAGCCATCTTGGGAACCATCTGGCTGTAGGGAAGGCGAAGTATCTTAAATAAGCTGTGTGATCTAAACAAAAAAAAATAAACGGTGGAGTTTTATACTGCTGATCCCGCTCTAGAAACCTTCCTTATGGTTAGACCTTCCTCATCGTGATCTGGTCGGACTTCAAGGCGTTTTGGGCCCTTCTTATCTTGCGAAATGGGCTCTGAATATGAGAACTTTGAAAAATGTACCTCCCTGCTGCCTCGGCTGGGACCTTCCTTGGGTGAAGGTGTCAGGGCAGCTGCTTTCCAAACAGAAGGGCCCTGATGCCGTCCCTGCTGGTGCTCCAGAGTTTGCCAGGCTCGTCTGCTCTGGTGCCCTGTGTGAGCGTGGAGGGGGCTGTGCCCTCCTCCGCCTGGGTGCTTCGGTGCTGTGTCTGAGGGCAGCTCTTGGGCAAATGGGGCAGAATGGACTCGTGGAGGCCCTAATCCACACTGGAGGGCTGGGAGATGGGCCAGGCTTTACGGTCCTTCCTTTCCTGCCACAAACGGTTCGGTTCACCGGCTGCTCTCTTCTCTTTCTCTTAGGGCGAATTAGAATAAAGGAGCAAGATGTCAGACGTAGGGAACAGCACAGAGGGGAAAACGAATATCCCTAACGGTAAGGGCAGAGAGAGAAGCAGAAACATTTCTGGTGTTTGTTGCCTGTTGCAGGGCTGTGAAGGGCACCGTGCCAACTCGCTGAGCTGTGTCTGGGTGGTAGAGTGGGCAGTGCAGACGGGCTGGATCCTGCCTGCCTGCGACACAAGCCCACCTCTGACCGCCTCCATGCGGGGAAGCGACTCCCCTGCAGCTCTGGGCATTTGGGCGTAGCAGCCCTGCGAACGAGAAGGGCAGAGGGGAGGCCAGCTCAGCCTTCTGACCCGGATATGGTCTCCACACACAGGAAGCTTGTCCAGCAGCCCGGAAGAGACCTCCGGCACCACGGAGGGGCCCGAGACGTCTTCCGGGGTGGAGGTGGAGGCTTCTGACCTGAGCCTCAGTTTGACAGGCGACGAGATGGGCCCCAGCCAGACTTACACAGAGAGCTCCACGGAAGAGAAGGACTCGGACAGCATGGAGGAGACAGGCCACTACTCTGTCAACGAGCTGAATCGGACCTACGACCGCTCTCCCTCGGAGGAGGAGGAAGAGGAGGAGGAGGCAGAGGAAGAAGAGGAAGAGCAGCAGCAGCAGGAGGAGGCGGAAGTGGAGGCCCAGCGTTCCCGCTGGCGAACACACCGCAAGCGCCCCAACCAGGACAGGGACTCCTCGGACGATGAGCGGGCCCTGGAGGACTGGGTGGCCTCGGAGACGATGGCGCTGCCCCTGCCACGCTGGCGAGCCCTCCAGGCACTGCGGCAGAGGGAGCTCGGTTCCAGCGCCCGCTTCATCTACAACGCCTGCGGGGCCCGGCTGTTCGTGCAGCGCTTCTGCCTGCAGTACGGCCTGGAGGGCCACGGCGGCTGCGTCAACACCCTGCACTTCAACCAGCGTGGGGCCTGGCTGGCCAGCGGCAGCGACGACCTCAAGGTGGTGGTGTGGGACTGGGTGCGCAGGCGGCCCGTGCTGGAGTTTGAGAGCGGCCACAAGAGCAACGTCTTCCAGGTGGGTCGCAGAGGAGATTGGAGCGGCGCCTTCCAGAAGGCCCAGCCTCCCTGGCTTCCCTGGGGGAGGGGTGCTCTGGCCCTGGGAAGAGCTCTGCTGGCGGGTGGGGCTCCCCTCGCCAGCCCCGGTGCTTTTGCCCCTGCAGGCCAAGTTCCTCCCCAACAGTGGAGACTCGACCCTGGCCATGTGTGCTCGGGATGGCCAGGTCCGCGTAGCTGAACTCTCCGCCACGCAGTGTTGTAAGACCACGAAGCGGGTGGCCCAGCACAAGGGTGCATCGCACAAGGTGAGAGGGTCTCCTCGGCTGCCCCCCCCCCACTCCCCCGGGATTGGAGGGCCTGGGCCCGATGGGCTGCCCACACCTGGCCATGGTAGCGCACCCGAGGAGGAGCTGGCGCTAGGCAAGGCGAGAGGCTGCCTGCTCCTTTCCCTGGGACGCCTCTGCAGAGGCCCAGTTGCTCTCTCTCGAAGGGCCACCGTGAGCCAGTTCTGAACTATGGGACTTTCCTGCACAATTCTCTGAAGTGCTGAGCCGGGGGGGCCAAGCTGGGCCACTCGGGGGCTTCCCGGAGTTCTTCGCTTGCCGAATTCGGGACCACATCTCCCCACCGTTGTTAAAAGGCCCCTCAGCTCAGCCTCCCTCTCCCCTAGCTTGCCCTGGAACCGGATTCCCCGTGCACTTTCCTCTCGGCAGGAGAAGACGCTGTGGTTTTCACCATCGACCTGAGACAAGACCGACCGGCTTCGTAAGTGGCCATCCGAGCGGCTGGTGCTTCCCATCGCGGTGGCGGCTCAGGGCGCTGAAGGCCTCGCTTTGTGTCCCTAGGAAACTGGTTGTGACCAAGGAGAAGGACAAGAAGGTCGGCCTCTACACCATTTACGTGAACCCAGGCAACACGCACCACTTTGCTGTGGGAGGCCGAGATGAATACGTCAGGTCAGCGGAGCCACCCACCCACCCACCCACTCCCCCTGCTGGGCCCTTGACGCTCAGCTGCGCTGCCACACTCGGGGAGGGAGTCTGCCTGGCCCTTGCTTGGGCTTTCGTCACACCTTAATCCTGCTAGCTTGAGGACTAGAAGCTTGCTTTTGACTTGGAGAGAATGAGGCTGGGGTCCCCTGGAACCTTCCCTGTGGGTCGCTGGTCTCAGCTTTCCTTTCTGCCTGTCTCTGCCAGGATCTACGACCAGCGGAAGATTAATGAAAATGAGAACAATGGGGTGTTGAAGAAGTTCTGCCCCCACCACCTGGTGAGGCCTCCTCTTCTGCCACCCCCATTCCCAGGGGCTCTCGGGGGGGGGGGGGCAGGCGAAGCTGGGGGGGGGTTGGCAGCCCCCCCTGGAGCCGGACACTCCCCTGGGGTCTTGGCAGGAAGCTGGGGTGGGGGCCTTTCTGCCTCTGCCACAGGGCAGGAGGCGGCTCTAGGGAAAGTCCCTGCGCTGGGGAAACCGGGCCAGGGCCCCGAACGGTTTGGGGCCGTGAGCGCCTGCACAGAGGGCCTTTTCAAGGAGCTCTGCCCCTCCCTCCCTCCCCCCTGCAGGTGAACAGCGAGTCGAAAGCCAACATCACCTGCCTGGTCTACAGCCACAATGGCTCAGGTATGGGGCCGTGGGGAGCCTGGGCCCGGCAGGGGTTGAGAGGCTGAAGGCCAGGGCGCACCCTCTGGCGGGGGAGGGGGGATGGCGGCTGGGCGGCCACCTCCAGGCGCCCACTTGGGGGTCTCTTGCAGAGCTTCTGGCCAGCTACAACGACGAGGACGTCTATCTCTTCAATGCTTCCCACAGTGATGGAGCTGAATACATCAAGAGATACAAGGGCCACCGCAACAACGCCACAGGTGAGACCCCCCCCCCCCCCGTCCCTCCCCAGCTGGCCCTGGGTGGCTTGGTGGGGTGGGGGGGCCCAGGCAGCAGAGAGGCAGGTGGGGGCCTCCTGGGCAAAACTGGCTGCCATTGTCATTGCCGCCCCCTTCTGGCTGGAGGAGACAAGGGTTAAAATACGCCCCCCCTTCAGTGCACCTCCCTGTAGAATGGAGGCCCGGAATGCAGGTGGAGAGGGACAGACTGGCTTGGTCTGTGGTGTCCTTCCGAGCCCCCCCCCCCTTAATCGTCCGAACCAAAGCCCCCCCCCCCCCAAGAGGGTTTGTCCTCGGACCAGGTGGGGGATGCAGCACCCCTTGAGGGGGCTCCCGGCCTGGCCTGAGGGGTCTCTGCGTCTGCTTTCAGTGAAGGGGGTCAACTTCTACGGCCCCCAGAGCGAGTTTGTGGTGAGCGGCAGCGACTGCGGCCACATCTTCCTGTGGGAAAAGGCCTCTTGCCAGGTGGTGCAGTTCATGCAGGGTGACAAAGGGGGCGTGGTGAGTGGGGCCTTGGGGGCTGACCCCCTGGAGGGGCCTGGCTGGGGGCTGCCGAACCAAAGGCCAGGGTGGGGGTGGGGGGCCCAGCCCCCCCGTATCCCTAGCCCTCACGTGGCTCCTCCTGAGCTCGGGGGCCTCTGCGAGCGTTTGCAGCCCCTTCCTGTTCCTGTCTGGTTGCCCTTGCAGGTCAACTGCTTGGAGCCTCACCCCCACCTCCCGGTTCTGGCCACCAGCGGCTTGGATTACGACGTGAAGATCTGGGCCCCCACTGCGGAGATGCCCACCCAGCTGACCGGCTTGAAGGAGGTGGGGAGAGAATCCCAGGTCCTCCCCCCTCCCCCTTCCCCGGGGTCCCCCTTGCAGCTCTCCATCCTCCCTCTGCTGCTGCTCCCCCTCCAGGTGATCAAGAAGAACAAGCGGGAGCGGGATGAGGACAGTCTGAACCACGCAGACATGTACGAGAGCCACCTGCTCTGGTTCCTCATGCACCACTTCCGGCCTCGGCGGCGCCACAGGGTGAGCAGTCCTCCCTGCTGAGGCGGGGCATGGAGACCCTTCCTGCTCCGGTGGGGCCGCCCCGGGGATCGTTTCCAGGAGCCCTGGACAGGCTCCGCCCTGGGCCCCATGGCCCGGCCTCTCAGCTTGTGTTGCAGCATCGAAGGGGGAGGAGGAGGAGGAGGGCTCCCCAAAGCCTGTGGGGCTGAGGCCGCTCCTTTTCTGCAGCGCCAACGGGATCCGGGCACCGGAGTGGCCGACAGCGACTCTGAGGACTCCCTCAGCTCCTCGGACACCCTGGACGAAGACGAGGAGGGCCCGGACCGGGTGCAGTGCATGCCTTCCTGAGTCCCCGGCGCCACGGAATAGGCTGCGGAGAGCCTGCCCTCTGGAATTAGGCCCCCTCTTCCTGCTTTAGATGAGAGGCCCAGCCTCACCCTGCCTGCCAGCCCTGGCTAGCGGGGGGGTGGGGGGGCGGCTTGGCTCAGCCCCCGCCCTTGGACTCTCCCTCTCCCTTTCGGCCCCCGATGAGTCCCGGGGCCCCGGATTCCTCTTCCTGGCTGTGGTTGCCGCCTGTTCCCTGCGAAGCTTCTTTGGGGTGGGGGCTGAGAGTTGGCTTGGTTCCTCCTTTCTGGGTGGGGGGCTCCTCCAGAAGCACCTTGGAGATGTACTTTCATCTCAACACCACCACCCCCCAAAGACACCCGGCTGCTGCATGTTGAGTCCAGGACGAGAAAACCTGGATTCTGCTTTTTCAGTGAAGATTTGGGAGTTTGTTCCCTCTGGGTTTGGTTCCCCCCCTCCTCTCCCCCCCCCTCGTTCTTTCTTTCTTTTGGTGTGTTTTTTTTCCAGCAGCTCTAGGCACAAAGGACCCCCTTCCCTCCCTGGGCTGCCTAGAGCTGCCTCTGCTGTGGAGGGCGGCCACTCGCTGAACAACAACTCGGAGCATAAAGTTTGAAAGGTTTGACAGCCGACACGGCCGCCTTGTTTTTTCCCGTTCCTCTTCAGGAGAATCTCTTGATTTTCAAAGCAACTTTTCCCCCCACGATTGCTGTTTAGAGGTCTAATTTTATATGTATTAAACGACAAGAACCAAATTAAACTTGGATGTTATCAAGTTAAAATTATTGTAAAAGTTTAAATATATATATATAAATATATATTATATAAATGCAATAAACGAATTGAGAGAGAGACCCGGTGCCATCTACCGCCAGCATCTTTGCTATTCCTTGCTCTTCTGTGGCTGCCTCGAGTTCTGAGGATGGCTTGGTCTTGTCTCAGCTGTTTCGTCTGCCCGGCCCCTCGCCTCCCCTGGGGATTGGCCTCCCTGCCCCCGAGTCGATGGGGGTGTGAAATCCCCTCCGGTGCTTTTTGGGAAAACTCTGTTCAGAAAACCTGTGTTAATGGGGCCGAGGACATGAAAGGTGGACACTCTCCACCCTTTGTGTGGCAAGCCAAGAAATAGACATATAATTGTCAGTTGCTCTATGCACAGTGCCTTGATTCTTAGTGTGTTGACTTCCTTTGCTTTTTGGAGAGGGGGGGCGGGCTATTTTAAGTGGGCCTCCTCTGGGGCTCCAGCTGGGGAGGGGGCTCGATGCTGTCGCATGAAAGGGGTGGAGGGTGTCCTAGTGCCCATTTTGTCAGTCTGCATCCTTGGGCCTAAAGGCTGCCAGTCCGACCACGGCCAGATGTAGCCCAACGGGGTCTCTGGCTAATTTTAGCAGCAAGAAATTCTGGCTGGGATTTGGGAAAGCAGCTTAAGGCGGCCTGAGTGCCACCAGGGTGCTCGCCCTGCCCCGTGGCGAACGTGGGCTCTAATGCGCAGCCCTGCGAGGTAGGCCCTTGCAGTTCCCTTCTGCGAAGCTTGTTGGATCGTAGTGAGGCAATTTTCCATCGGTGATGTACCAGAGCAGCGTATTTGATTTCTTTCTTAAATAATTCTGCCATCTGAGACGAATGATGGATTTTTTGAAGTTAGAAACAACTATTCTGTTACAATTCCTCTTTGCTTTTTTATTATTATTTTTTGGTCCACTTGACAAAGAAAATAAGTTAACACTGAGCACTCCATATTATATTTAATATACATATATTTATAATATATATGTACACACAGTTAGCACGGTCTGAGCATCGAGGCCAGGGACGGTGGGAGGAAAGGGGGAGCGCTGGCCACAGAGGACAGGATTTGTGCCTTCGGTCGCTCCTCGGAGCTTGGGGGTCCTGTGAGACCCTCCCCCCTGCCCATCATGAAGCTACCCTGACCCAGAGGCGCCCCAAGAAGAGCAGGGCTGCTTTAAGCTGCTTTGCGCTTCATTTCATTTCGAGAAATTCACTCGCTCTGAATTCTACACCTCCCCTCATGCCCGCCCCACCGGATACTATTTTTACTTGGTGCTAATTTGCAGTGAGATCAGCGCCATCTGTTCAGCTGTAAACACTGGAAGAGAAACATACTAATTTAAGGCCAGTTCAGGCAATGTGGAGTCTTCCATGTTGGTCCTGGGTGGCAGGGAGCAGCGCTGACCCTGCGGGCAGAGCCGGGCTCCTGGGCACCATGGCTGTCCCGGGTGGGGCAGAGGCCTCAGCGGGAGGTTTAGCCTGGAGCCGTGCGGGGTTCAGGGGCCTGGAGCCGTGGGGGGTTCAGGGGCCGTCTGCTGGCTTCCTGCCTCCCTCATCTCTTGCAGACGTTCACCTGAGAATTCAGTCCTCTTTCCCCCGTCTCGGAAGGGCCCCTGTCCTTCCTGCCAGCTCTTTCCAAGCATCCCACGGAGCCAGACGGCCCAGCCCCACCGACCCTGTGGCCACGGTCCCCGTAAGGCCAGCACCCAGACTGCACGGGGCAGACAGAAGCAGGAACGGGAGACACGGGGGGGGGGGCGGCTTTGAGGGGACGTTAAAAGCACAGTTCTAGCCCAGCTGTTTCTATGCACACCACGAGCACAACACGAGTGTCAGGAAAGGTCACGCCACTTGAAGGGGCTCGAGGAGCACAGGATGTCGGGGCTAAACACAAGTATAGTCAACAGAAGCGCTTCGCCTTCCAGCGCCAGAGAAGCGACTTGGCCGTTTCCCGAAGGCCCGGGGCGTTCTGCACAGGCCAGGCACCGGGAGCTCTTCTGTGCTGGACGAACCAGGAGCCCCGGCACCCCGCAGCCTCCACCCTGCTTCTGGCTTCTCCCTCGATGGCTTCCAGGTGTTCCTCACTGGGTGCCCCCCTGCCCCTGCTTGTGTGCCAGGACAGCAGGTGGGCAGGATGCCCCGGTGAGGCCGAACCGCTTGGTCCCTTTCTGAGCAGAGGCAGCTGCAAAAGCCACTGGGGGGCACCCACATTTGCAAGCCCCACACAGTGGCTGTTTTGAGGGGAGGGCAGTGGGACCCTGGGGTCTTGGCCCCCATCAGTCTGGGGCAGGAAGGAAGTTGGCCAGGTTCCTTCTCCATCCCGGTGGGGAGTGGGATTGGTGGCTCCAGCACCCAGTGGGCGAGGGCTGGTTTGAGGGGGGCGCTTGGGTAGGATGGGCCTAGGAGGGGGCTGCTCCTTCCCCCAGCGTCCCATAGAGGGCAGGGTGCAAGTGTGGCCAAAAGGGCAACTGACCCTCACCTCCTGCCCCCCACCAGAGGCACAGGAAGGGAGTAGAAAAGGAGGCACCCGTGGAAATGCCTGGAGGCCGCTGGGGTGGGAGACCCAGGGAAGGCACCGCGTGGACAGGGGGGGGGGGGGGCAAGGCGGGGGTCTGTGACAGGAGGTGCTCTGGGCCCCTGGTTCTGTTCTGCTTCGGGGGGCTCTGGTCTGGCTGGGAAGGAGCAGGCGCCCCCATCGGACCTCTCTTCCCAGTCTGCCTCCTGATCCCTTGGTCCTTCGCTTCCCCGCCAGCCTTCGGCGGCAGCCCCAGTGGACCCGGAAGAGCTGGCTGAGCCCACACCCCTCCCCTGCCCTCCCCCAGAAAAGGAGGGCCCTGTGCCTGGATGTGCCTGAGGGGGCTCCACAACCTTTCCAGGTCCAACCCTGCTAAGCAGCTGCAGCCATCCCTGACTCCTGGGGGGGGGGGGGGCAGGGAGTCTCTAGGGCAGCTGCGGAAGATGCGGGGTCCCTGGCAAGAGAGGGTGGCAAATCCTCTGCCCCTTTCTACTGCCCCCCGTGTCCCACCTCTTCTTGCAGGCTCTGGCATTCCTCTGGCAGTGGCCCCAAAGCTCCTTAGGGGCTCCCCTGCTCTCCATCTGCTCTTCCCTCCCTCCCTCCCTCCCTCTCTCTCTCTCTCACTTCCTCATTCCTTGCAAAATCCCCCCCGTCCATCCAGATCCACCTGCGGGTCCCCATCGTCTCTTGCCCAGCACAGTGGGTGGGGGAACAGCAGCAGCAGTAGGGTGCCCCCCCCCACCCTCAAACAGGCCTCAGCGGCCTCCTAAAACATGTATCAGCCAGTGACCCGGGTGAGAAATGGGGGTGTGGACCCCCGTCTCCCTTTCCCCATCCAGCCGGGAGAAGGCAGAGAAGGACGTAAGCGGAGGGGAGTGAAGGGGGAGCCGCAAAATGTCTGAGCCAGGGCAGTGGAGGGGGGGGGTGGCAGTGATCCTTGGAGCTGGGCCCCTCCATGCACGCGCACACACTCGCACACACACACACACACACACACTAGGTTTTCAGGCCTTTTTGGGTGGGGGGGCCAGTTTGATGATTTCTTCCTCCGAGGGCTGCCGAATGATGTCTGTGGAGAAAGGGAGGCAAAGTCAGAAGAGCCGGGGGGGGGGGGGGGGGGGGGGGGAGGGAAGTCGGCCCCCCCCACCAAGGCCAGGGGTCTCCTGACCTTTGTACTTTTTGGCACTGGGGATGCGGGTCAGTTTGGTGTCCACCTCGTCCTCCTCCGAGATCTTCAGCACTTGCGTGCGGTACTCCACCACCCGGGTCAGCAAGTCCGGCCGGCGGGAGATCTCGAAGATGTGCTCGATGTAGGAGAGGTTGTCTGCGCGGAGGAGACGGGCGCAATCAGGGCAGGGGGAGGGGGGCAGGGCCCGGGGGGGTGGCCCTGGGCAACAGGGAGCAACAGGCTGCCTACGTGGCTGTGGCTGCTGCGGCTTGGCAGCTTCCAGGGGGGGCGCCTGACTTGGGTGGGTTGAGTGGGTGGTGCGTGGTGGTGCGAGGCTGCTTGTGGCGCTGGTGCGTGGGTGGCCAGGCCGCTGGTGCAGAGGCAGAGGGAGAGAGCGGGTGGGCGATGTGCAAACTCTTGTGAAGGCATCCAGGAGGAGGGAGCCAGCCCGAGAAAACAGCCCTGGCTTCTCTTCCAAAACGAATGACATCACTGAACACCATCTGCCCCCTTCCTCTTCCCTCCCGAAAGGCAGGCAGGGGCTGGGGAGAGGGCAGAGCGCCCAGCTGGCTTGCTTGGAAGACGGGAGCATCGGGGCCCCTAGCCTAACTCCTTTTGGGGGGGGGGCTCACGGGGCATCCTGGTTCCCCTCCCAATTTCCCCCAGCGCCTCACCCAGCCAGCTGCATTTAAATCTCCCACTGGCACTCTCGGGGGTGGTGGGGGTGTCAGCCAAGGGGGTGCCTGGCATTATTAGGGCACCAGCAGAGACTTTGGGGTGGCAGGCTTTCCTCATCTGAATGCTGTGTCCCTCGGTTTCTCCACTTCAGTTCCCACCCGCAGCCCCTCCGGGTGGCCTCCATCCCTCCCAGGCCCCCAGGAGCCCCCCCAAATCTTCCCTGCTCCCCCCTCCGCTCCTTCCCACCTTTGTCCAGTTTGTTGTGCTTCTCCAGAAAGCCGAACCAGTCCTTGCCAGTGGCGATTTCCTCGTGCCTCTCGCTGGGGATGTCCTCCTTGCAGGCCGACTTCAGCTGGTCCAGGTCTTCGTTGGTGATGTTCTCGGCCAGTTCCTCCAGCAGCCTGCTGTACTCCGCCATCTCTGCAGAGGAGATGGGGGCGGGTTAGGCCCTGGGAGGACTCCCACCAGGCTGGGGGATTGCAACAACCCACGCCGGGCACAGGTCTTTCCGTGAGAAGCAGGTGCTGCTTTGCCAGGCTGGGCATCGGCTGCAGCCGCTTCAACCTCCCAACGCCTTGGCTGGACTCTTTGGGGTCGGAACACGGCCACTAACAGCCCATTTGCCGGCCCAAGGGAGCTTCTGTCCCCCGTCTCCTCCTCCAGCTCCTTTCCTACCTGACTGCAGCTGGAGCACTGAGCAGGCTGCCTGAGCCGCTCGAGGCAGGTGGCAAGTGGCGCTTTGGAAGAGTGTGCCGACTGACAGCTGGGGTGGGTCTCCCTGCTCCCCTCCCCAGAACAGATTTCTGCATCCCAGCAGAAGCCTGATTTCCGCTCTGCGCTGTGCCCAGCGGCTTAGCGATGGGGATTAGAGCATTTTTCATTTGGAGAGGAAGACCACAGGAAATCATGTCCAGACAGGGGCAGCCCCCAGCTTTCCAGGGTGCTCCAGAATCCCTGACCACAGACCATCTGGCTGGGATGGGGAGGGAGGGATGGGCTGGGTCAGATGCGGGTCACGAGGACTTGCCTATTTTTCACAACTGCCCCCGGGCACCGTCTCTGCTCGGTTCTGCCAGCTCCCAAGGAAGAGCGGACACTATCGCCAGTGGGCACCATCCTGCAAGGGGGCGGCCACATCCTTCACCCACTTGCTTGGCAGAGGCGCCCAAGTTGCACCACTGCTCTGCCTGATCAAAGGCCAGCCCGCTGCTTGCTTATGGGTGTGGGAGGGGGCTTCCACCCCTCCCTGCCGAGCGCAGCCTCTCTCTTCCTTTGGGGGCTTGGCAGAAAGGCAGCCTGAGACCGACTCCCCTCCACACCAGCAAAGGCAGGACTGGCGGGGCCTTTCCCTGTGGGGGGGGAGGGGGCACCCACATTCCTTTCCCACATAGATTCCTTAGATGTGAGCAGAGGTCCTGGAGGCACAAAGGCGCTTGTTTTCCTCAAAAACAACCAAGCGAGCCAAGCACATCCCTTCCCCTCCTTACTTCCCTGACAAACAGGGTCCAACTCCGTGCCTGCTGGTTCGCTGCCATTGCAGCTCCTGCTAATTCTGCCTCAAAACCCAGGGATTTATTTTGCAGAGATAAAAAGCAAATAAAAAAGTTGACTTTCCAGACAACATTTAAGAGCTCTCCTTCCACCCAGCCCACCTCTTCATTTGAAAAATGCACTTGCTGAAAGAAAGCCTTGCTTAGGGAGGCTCAGCGAGGGAAGAGAACCGTGAAGTTGTGGAAAGCTGGGTCTGTAGGGACGCCCAAAGGCATCGTGCCCAGAAACCCTGTAGGCACCGGGGCGATTGCATGAGCACCCCCTCCCCTTTACCACTCTCCTGTTCCTGCCCAGGAAGGAAATAAAGGACACATGGGCCCAATGTCAATGCCACCGCAGTATGGCCAGGCGTGCCATGGATGGCTTTCCTGTGTCTTTTGCAGCAGGAGCACCCGGGCACCCATCGTCCTGCTCTTCTTCCCGACAGGTGGAGTGGCCACAATCAGGCCCAGACCACCCAGTGGTCCCCAGGGTGCCAGAAACCCCTCAAATGAGGTGCAATGGCCAGGGGTTGCGAGGGCCACCCCCTTCAAGCTCCTCAACCAGACTTCTCTGCCCGCCAGCCGACAAACTCTGATCTCCAACCCACCCAGAACCCCCATTAATTAATCTGTTCCTGTGCAATTACTCCCATGCCTTGGTCACAGCTGCTTATTATCTCACAGCCCCCCCTCAAAAACACGCATTTCTGCCCCTGCAACATCTCTTACTCCTAAAGTTTCCTAGGGTCCCCCCTCCCAAAAAAGGCTTCACATTATCTGTGCCACGTTTGCAAATTGCTATTCCCCCCCACCCCACACACACACACAAGTGAAATTGCCGTGTTCCTTCTCTGTAATTCTGATGCACCCAAATGTCTTCAGGTACCCCCTCCCATCCAGGTCACGCCCAGGGAGGGGGGAAGCCCCCAGAGGCCCCGGAAGAGGCCAGAAATCCAGCCTCAATTGGGGCTGGTTTCCCCAGCAAAGGCTGCCCTCCCAGAAGCGAGCCAAGCCAGGGCTTGGTCTCTGCTATCTCCCTCCCCTCTTTCCTCTCGCTGGGCCAGTCCAGCTGTTGCGGCAGCAGTAGGGAAGCGTAGTGGGGCCGGCCAGCAGGGACAAAGGGGGTCCAGCCTGACTTCCCCAGGAAGAGGAACTCCTGCTCTGCTGGGGAAAGGCAGCCCCCTTTCCAGATGGCCGCCTTGCCTTCCTTCCCGCCCCCCCGCCCCCCCGAATGAATTGTTAATGGGGGGGGGGAGGCTTGTTGGGTGCTTGCCCTCTTTTCTTGTCCTTTCAGGGCCCCAAACAACGGCCTTCCCTCCCCCTCCCCTTCCTCAGGCCTGCCAGGTGGCAGAAACCCAGGGCCTGGCAGAGGAGGCTGGGAGCCAAGGAGCTGGCACGGGACCTGCTGCGCCTTTCCCAGGCCCCCGGAGCCCACGAGAGCCTCGGCCTGGCCCAGTGGAGGGAGGGGTGGGTGCTTGGGGCCAGGCATTTGGCAGCTCGAGGCCAGTGGCAGAGCCCTGGGTGTGGTGGGCACCCGCCACCCACTGCAAGGCACGACAGCCGGAGGTGGGTGGCCTCGATCTGCTTGGAAGGGGATGGGCCAGGTGGGCCTACTTTTGAAGTGCTGCATCTGGGACAGTCGCTGCTTTTGTACCCCACCCGCAACACAGGGAGGTCTAGGGCAACCCCAGAGGTGCAGGGCCACACTTCCCATTGTCCCTATAGCCACTAAGATGCATTGCCTCTGGAAAGACTTGGGTGCAAATCCTCCCTCGACTCTGAAGGAGGGGCACCGAGCAGCCTTAGGCCAGTTGTGACTTCTTGGCATGTCCTGCCAAGGGGTGCAAGGGGCAAGCTGCAGTTGGGAAGGGAGCGAGGGGAGATGCCCTCAAGATGCCCTCCCTCCCTGCTCCTTGCAAAGCCCAGCCTGTCCCTTTAAGACCCTCCCCCCCTCAAGCCTGGCTTGCCTTCTGTTTCCTTCTTCTTCCCTCCCTTCTCCTTTTTCCTTTTGTGCTGGGACTGATCTCTTGTAGCTCTGCGCTTTGTTCCCGAACTTTTAAGTTATGCAAAGCACATGGACGTGGACCGAGGGCCTTTAAAGAAAGGAAAAGCAAAACCAGCCAGGCCTTTAGTCCCATGTAGGCTGAATGGAAGAGCAGGAAGGGCTAGATATGGCTGAATGGGGCTGGAAAAGCCTTTGAAAGAGGACAGGAGCAGATTTCTTTCTTTACTGAGGAACCCTGCCACTCTCCTTAGACAGGGGAAAAACAGGATTTATTTGTCCTCCTGCTTCACAAAAGGAAAGGTTTTCTTTCAAGGCAGTTCTGGAGCTTAAAGTTTGGTGCTCTGTTTCTTTGCAAAGCTGAGCTGCATTTAGTTAGAAAAAGGGGTTTATTTATACAAAAGGTCAGTTTCTCAGGAAACTCTTTTGTCCAAGATGGCGCTTGTGGATGACAAGGCCTCCGAGCTGGGAATCTGGGGCGTCTGTAGTAACAATTTCCGTTTCCCTCCGAAATCCTCTTGCCTCAGAGGACATGTCTTTCCCTTCCCTTCATTTGTAGGGAAACATCATTCTAGACCTAGAGGGTCCTCAGGAACCACCCAAAAGGCTGACGATGTCAGATTAAAATGCTTTGTTTGGTGGCTTCTTTATCCCAACCAACCGCTTGCCAGCCACTTCCCCAGGAGGGAAGCCATTTTGAGAAGGACAAGCAAGACTTTCCTCAGGGCTGATGGATTTTCTTCAGCTGGTGCCCTCACATTGCACTGAATTGAAGTAAACATTTCTGGAGCAATTTCCCTCAGATGATGGCATCTCGGGATAAAAATTATGTGGGAAAGTCTTTGAGCAAGAAAACTCTTTTTCAGAGCAGCCTTCTATTCAAAGATGGCTCCAAGATGGATGGATCCTGAGGGAAGGCTAATCTCTAGCCACAAAAGCTTTATCCGGCTTTGCTCCCCAGTTTCTCTCTCAAACAGGCACACAGTGCAGAGAAAAACTGGAATTAAAATTAAAAAGAAGACATTTCTCAGACTAGAAAGAGAGAGCAGCTGTTGAGAGCATGGCTGTCCTTCAATTCCGGGAGGCCTCAGGAAGAGGAAAAATATCTTAAGAACAGAAAAAGGCACACAGGCATTTGGCTCTTTCTTACATTAGCCAGGAACAACTTAGCTTTGCTCAATTATTAAATATGGATTAATTTATGGAAGAAGTCAGCTGGAAAGGCAAGAGAGGCAGGCCAGGGACTTTATCTGACAGAACTGGAAAAAAACCAACTTTATTCCTTCTTAGTCTTCAAGCATGAGATAGTTTCAATCCTGCCTCTAAGGTCTTTTGTCTTTTGCTTTGTTAATTCATTACATCTAACTTTAGGCTGTCTTCTCCCGGCACTGCAACCTCTACAAAAGTACAACACATGATTAAAAGCAATAAAAAACCAATAGTAATCAAACTCTATCCAGGATGTGCCAAAGCCCCAGACAGCTGCTGGCTCATAAAATAGAGAACTGCATCTGCAAGACAATCTCAAGTTTACTCAGAGGGAACCTTCCAGCCATGCTTCCTTAATCCATTTCTTTCCTAACTTGTGATTTCTAGAGAGATGGCTTTTATGAGAAAACAGAGGGGGAAGTTTATTCACAGTTTTATTCACTCTCTTGAATGCCACACAAAGTCGCTTGTTTGTGAGATGGGGGGCGATATAAATTGGTTTAATAAGTGAAATAAATAAATCCCTGCTGCGAAAACCAAACCAATACTGTGGGCATGGAAAGGTTCTGCAAACTCCTTTTCAACAGTGGGGAGCCCCACTTTGTGGGCTTAAGCCCTGTTATTGCAACAAGACAGTTTGAGCTGAGTCATCCCAAAGGCTAAGCCCCCTGCGAACG